CATCCCACCCCGCTTCCATTTGGGATCACCACAGCCAGACACGCTTTTAAAAATCCACACCTGACCGGGTCACCTGGTGCTGGCTTAGAACCTTTAATGATAAAAACCAAAAAAATGTTTTATGCCTGGCCGGTGTGGCTCAGTGGTTGAGCATAGACCTCAAAGATGCTCAGTGGTTGAGGGTTCGATTCCTGATCAGGGCATATGCCTGGGTTGCAGGCTTGCTCCCCAATGGGAGGCGTGCAGGAGGCAGCCGATCCATGATTCTCTCTCATCATCGATGTTTCTCTCTCTCTCTCTCTCGCTCTCGCTCTCTCTCCCCCCCTTCCTCTCTGAAATCAATAAAACTATATTTAAAAAAATAAAAGATAGTTCCATCTTTAAAAACAAATGGTTTATCACAGCTTACATTCAATATTATTCTGTATGGGTTTCAGGAGTACAGCCCAGTGGTCAGACCATACCCTTCCCAAAGCGTCGTCCGATATTCCCAGGACCCGCCCGGCACCACCCATGGTGACTGCAGCATCACCATGTTCCCCATGCGGGACTGCACATCCCCGGGACGCGGTCACTACCCGTCTGTACTTCTCAGTCCCTGAGCTGCCATCCTCAGAAGTGGCCCAGCACCAAGTCTGGCCACTCTTGTTGGTCTTTGCTCATCAACTGCTGCACGCTGTCCTTTCTCTGCGAGTCGCTCCCTCTCTGCCGCGCTGTAAGGAAGCTCACACTGTACCAGTATTTGTCTGACTTAACAAACTGTATCTTATCTTATTCCCTTCTATAATCCTCACCCGAGGATATTTCTCCATTGATTTTTAGAGTGGAAGAGAGAGGAGAGAAATATTGATGTGAGAGAAACACATCAACTGGTTGCCTCCTGCACGCGCCCCGACCAGGGCCGACCCTGCAACCGAGGTACGAGCCCTTGACCGGAATCGAACCTGGGACCCTTTGGTCCGCAGGCTGACACTCTATCCCCTGAGCCAAACTGGCTAGGGATTATTTTTTATTTTTATTTTTAAAAAATATTTTTATTGATTTTTAGAGAGGAAGGGAAAGGGAGAGAGACTGAAACATCAATGATGAGAATAATTGATCGGCTGCCTCCTGCACACTCCCCACCAATGATCGAGCCCACAAGCCGGGCTTGTGCCCTGACCGGGAATTGAGCCGTGACCTCCTGGTTCATAGGTGGATGCTCAACCACTGAGCCCCCGTGGCCGGGCTGCCTTCTCATTTGGTTTTAGTGCCAAAGCCCTTTAGCCCTCCAGAATCCCCTTTCCCTCCCACTCCTCCTTGAAGGCCAGAACTCTTACACAGCCTTCAAATCCCAGCCCACGACTGCATGACTTCACCACCATAACAACAGTGACCTGTGCACATTCGTGTTCACAGCCCTTCCTCATGGACCTGTACATAGACTGCTCTGAATATATTGTTGATGGGAGAACAATGAATGAGAGCATAAACCGTACGTGAACCTCTATCTTGTAGTGACGGGCTGGCCGCGATTCCACTGGGAGCAGGGGATGTAAAAGGGCCATTTCCCTGAGAGTCTACATCACAAAACCCGACAGAAATGGTATCTTCCAACCACAGGGATGCCAGCCAAGGAGGCGTGTGTGACCAGATGCTGCCCAGGATGTGTGGTGGGAGGCAGACACGGGTGGGTCCCCAGACCAGCCCGGCTTGTCAACCCCCAACCTCAGACCCCAGCCGTTCCTGCAGGAGACGGTGGCGAGGGGCCGGTCCGACGCGCCTCCTGCGAGGGGAAGTGTGCCCCGTTTCACTTCTGCTTTGAGGTGAGACGCTTCCTGTGTCAGACCAGCCCGGAGCGCTCCTGTCCTCCTGTGCCAACCGCCCTCGGAGGCCAGTGCGGTGACTGGGGACCGGAGGGTCTGTGGCCTTGGCCCTCATCGCTGTGCAGGGAGCCAGGCCCCAGCCTGCCCTCCCTCCTTCCCAGTGCAGGAAACCACTCACAATGGGCTTCTTTCTCCCACTCCTTTTTTTAAAAAATATATTTTTATTGATTTCAGAGAGAGGAAGGGAGAGGGAGAGAGGGATAGAAACGTCAATGATGAGAGAGAATCATTGATGGCTGCCTCCTGCACGCCCCACACTGGGGATTGAGCCCACAACCCAGGCAGGTGCCCTGACTGGGAATCGAACCGTGGCCTCCTGGTTCATAGGTCAACGCTCAACCACTGAGCCTTGGTGCCTGGCTGGGGGCCGGGGCTGGGCAATCCTTTGCTATAGGAGCCACCCTGGGCAATGCAGGGTGTTGGGAAGCACCCATCAGATGCCAGTAGCACTGGGGACTGTTAGGACACCCGAGTGTCTCCAGCTATTGCCAAATGTTTCTCAGACGGGGGTCAAAGTCGCCCCCAGTGAGAACCCTGGCCAGCCCCTGGTGCTCCCCCAGCATGTACCAGGGGCCTGGAAAGGTGGGGGGGGGGTGCTTTAAGACGGCACAGAAACCAGGCTGGGCCCAGGGATGGCGCGCGGGGCACTTTACTCCACTGCTGCTATGTACAGGTATGTACAGTCGGTGTGAGCCTATGTACACTATTTCACAACATTATCTTACATCCTGTGCGCACTCCTAGTGGGAAGTGTGGATCCTGCTCTGACGAGCCCCCAGGGGCTGTAGGAGGGGACTCTCGGAGGAGCCACCCCCTCTGAGGACACTCCTGGGGGCCGCCTGTTCCCTTCCCACGGGCCATCTGGGCCTCCCACCTGCTCTGGGTGGGTGCTAGCTGCTTCCAGAATCCTTCTCCTCGAGCGGAAGAACACGGGGGAAGCGGCGGCGGCTCCCGCCCACTGACGGTGGCAAACTGCCATCGACGCCCAGAGCCTGGCTGATCCCGTTGCATATCAGTAGCAGACGGGCATCCTCCCATCCTCTGACCCACGCCGCCCGTCTCAGGGGGCGCTGGCATGCATCTTCTCCAGGCAGCTCGCCCAGAACGTGACCAGCCGGTTGTCGCGGTTGACGCAGAAGTCGGTGAAGTCCCTCAGCAGCCGGTCGGCGAACTTCTCGTCGCCCGTGGCACTGGAGCGCCAGGTCTTGGTCAGCATGGTGTTGTAGGCCCAGTTGTAGCCGATCCGCTCCTCGCAGAACATGTTCTGGTTGGCGGAGCTGGTGGAGTTGCGCCGCCGGCGCTGCTGCCCCGAGAACTTGCGCTTGGAGTAGGGCAGCTGCAGGAACACGGTGCCTGGAAGTAGGGGAGGGGGCTGGGTTGCAGCCACAGGTGGTGCCCCGGGTGGGGTCGGGGTTGGCTGGGCGGTTCTGCAACCACAGGTGGGGTGCAGACCCTGTGCATGGGGCCCACCCCCTCCCCGCTTCTCTCCAGAGTGCCTCACCTGTGACGTGGATGTACTGAGGCTTGTTCTCAGCTGGGAAGTTAAAAGCAGACGCGGAATATTTATCTTGCACAAACCCAAACCTAAGGGAAAGACAGGAAGACGCACTGAGTAGGGCCTCTCACGGGACCAGGGGCTAACAGGACTCCGAAAGGCTCGGCTAACAGGGTCTGGAAAGGTCTCCTTCAAGATGGAACATGCAGGCTGCTTCCGTCTGTCCTGGCTGCGTCTCAATCTCTACCTCTCCCATGGCTCTCCGGACCTCCTCCCGCCTCTGTTCACCTCCGGGTGGCTAAAAGCCCCCTCCCCGCCGGCCTCTTCCTCATCCCCTGCTCCTGGCACCCCCAGCCATCCCATCAGACCTTCCCACGGTGCCCACATCCTCGGGACTGTCAGGCCCTCCAGAAAACGGTCCTGATCTTTCTATACCGTAGCCACACCTCTCTCCCTTCCTCGTCTCCCACACTAAGCACATAGTAGGTGCTCATTAAAGGCCCGGAAGGGAAGTGAAGTATCTTAATTGAAATTCTGTTCTTAGAAGCGAGGACCACCAGTCTGGGCTCTGCTTCCCTGCGGTCTGGAATGGGCAGGAGGGGCCGTTTTTCATGCACGGCTGTTCCTTCCGGCTTCTGTCTCCGGCTTGTTCTATTCCTGGTTTTTCTATTTCGTGAAGCCCATTTGTCACAGCTCTACCTGCTAAGTGCTGCAAAGGACATATTAATAGATGTGGCTCCTGCCCTGAGCCCGACGCTTTATGTAACGCAGGCGGGGACACAGGCAGAACTCCAGGAGGTAAAAGGCCTCTCTCCTCTCCTGGACCAAGTTCCTCAGGGAGGGGCTGTGTGGTAGCCTCTACATTAGTCAGATCTGCACACACATGGACCGGCTAACACGCCCCGCAAGCCCATCGCCCGCAGGCTGATTCCAGCAGGTGCAGGTGTGGCCTGGGTTTTCCTCTCTTCCTCTCTTCTTCTAATCAAGTCCTTCATTTCCTCGGCGTGGATCAGCCTGAGCCAGATTCTTGCCTCATCTCTTCCTTAAGTCACCAGGAAGGAGCTTCCATTTTAAAAAGGCAACTTAAGCTTTGCGCACTGGCGGTATCGTAACCAATGAGGTTTAACCGAGGCGCGATTATTGCTAATTGAAAAAAAAAAAAGCGTGGCTCAGTGGTTGAGCATCAACCTATGAGCCTGGAGGTCACAGTTCTATTCCCGGTCAGGGCACATGCCAGGTTTCGTGCTCGATCCCCAGTGTGGGATGTGCAGGAGGCAGCCGATGCATGATTCTCTCTCATCACTGACGTTTCTGTATCTCTCTCCCTCTCCCTCCCTTTCTGAAATCAATAAAAAAAATACATGTTTTTTTAAAAAGGCAATTTAACCACATGGTGCTTGGCCCTCTCACTGACTATCCCCGGGATGGACAGCCGAGCTGGGGAAGGCTTTCCCTGGAACAAAGCTGAAGTGCCAGGAAATGCCTACTGACTCCTCTATCGCTGCTTAAGCACTGACTGTCTTTTCGGCATGTGTCAAGGGACTCTTGACAAATTCCAGTTTTTCATCTCCTGTCATCTCCCAGATAGCCTGTCTCAGGTCTTGTTGGAGGCTAAGGAGGGGGCTCTGCTCTCCCCTCAACTGGAAGGCGACGGAAATCAGGTCTGAAAACAACAGCCATGGGAACTGGAGAGGGTGCGCTGAGCTTTGAAACCAAGGCCGGGGTCCGAGCAGAGATAAGCAGCGCATGTGACATTGGGGGGCTAGCCCTGCTTCCCCAGAAATGAAACAAACGGGGCTTCGCTCTGGGAACTGCTATTCCAGACGAACGCGAGGGCCTCCCTGCCGTTCTCTCCTGGGAAGGGACGAACCTGTGCGCAATGGCTTCCTGGAAGAGGTGCATGCGGTCCCAGTACGTTTCCGGTTCAAAGCCTGAAAGGGAAAAGGAGTAAATGCTCGGCTGTGACCCTAAGGTACGCGACTGGCTGGGGTCTGGCCTTCTGAGCCCTTCTCTGCTCTGGGCAATGCCTCCCCCTTGGTCACAGGCTCAGCTTTTCCACCCGCCCTGCCTCCGGAAAGACCAGCCTCTACCCCAAGGGGGGACGTGCCAAAGAAAGTGACAGCCACACATTCTCACCCTCCCCTCCCCTGCGTTCCATCAGGATCTAAAGGGGGGACGAACGTGAGCCCTTAGGAGCCAGTGTGAGCTGCCAGGGCTCATTCCAATGACCTCCTGTGTCAGCAGCGGAAAGGAGCATGATGTCCCAGTGCAAAAAGGAGAGGAGCTTTAAGGGCTCTGGCCAGTGTTGCTCAATGGATAGAGCCTGCAGACCAAAGGGTCCCGGGTTCGATCCCGGTCAAGGGCCCTGGTTGGGGCTCGTGCAGGAGGCAACCCATCAATGTATTTCTCTTACATCGATGTTTCCTCTGTCTGTCCCTCTCTCTTCCACTCTCTCTAAAAATCAATGGAAAAATATCCTTGGGTGAGGATTAACAAAAAAATAAAAAAGAAATGCATGTTATCTGCCTCTAAGGACCATCTTCCATTTCCCTATGAGGAAAGGCAATATTATAAGCTGGGTGGGGAAATGGAAGCAAATTAATATAAAAATAATTTTGGGAAAGTGATCGTCTGGGGAGGGGCGGGGACATGCCCTACGCCATCGCCCACTTTGTTGTTCCAGCCCCGCTCCTCCTGCTCCTCCTGCTCCTCCTGCGGGGCTGCCTTGAGGACCAAGAGGGGCGGGAGGGGGGCTGAGAGCCTGTCCCACAGCAGCAGGCCAGGGGCCAGGGCCGCTCTCAGGACGGAGGTGCCACGGACTGGAGCAGCCACTGCAGGAGACATCCCCAAGGCCCGGGTGCCTGCAGTGGCCTCGTCACTCCTTCCCCACTTGGACTCTTCTATCTAGGACAGACCTGAGGATTCTGGGCAACGGGAGAGCAAGGGAGAAAAAGGCTTTGGCTTTAATAGGAAAACACACACACAGCAGATTCTTGTCGGGTTTTTAAGGGTTTGAATTCACTGTTATCAGAAGGGGCGACAACTGGAAGAGAAGCAGCACAGAAGCAAGAAAATCGAATTTTAGACTCAAGCCCTTATTCCTTGAAGCTAGGACTCCTTTCGTTCAGCTGTAACCATGGCAACCCACAGAGGCGGCTGGTCTCGATGACGGGGTTATGAGTGGCAGAGAAAACCATCAGCTCACACAAAAAATGTCCCCCGATGCCAGCCCCTCGCGCTGTCCTGTGCTATCACCGTGAAGGTGGAAAACCCCAGAGGAGGCTCAGATGGTGCGGGGACCATCTCTCTGTCCTGTCCTCTCAACACATGAAAAACAGCACCATGAGGCGGTGCCTGGCTTAAAATCGTCAGATACACACACTCAGTAGGCATTTCCGAACTGCAAAAATGGTCCTGCCTCAGCCACACTGTGAGGTCACACAAGTGTGTGTGTGTGTGTGTGTGTGTGTGTGTGTGTAAAGACTGCTTTATAGCCCTGCTGGTGTGGCTCAGTGGTTGAGCATCGACCTATGAACCAGGAGGTCACGATTAGATTCCCGGTCAGGGCACAGGCCCAGGTTGTGGGCTCGATCCCCAGTGGGGGGCGTGCAGGAGGCTGCCGATCCATGATTCTCTCTCATCATCGATGTTTCTATCTCTTTCTCCCTCTCCCTTCCTCTCTGAAATCAATAAAAATATATACAGAAATAAAAAATAAATAAAAAGGATTTTGAGGCTCAGAGACATTAAGTGACTTGTCCAGGGTTACCCAGTCACTAAGTGAAGAAGGAGGATTAAAACCCAGATCCTTTGGCCCCTGTCCGAAGGCTCTCTACGCAGGAGCCTACGTGGGTTAGCTCCCCAGAGGTGTCCTTGGGGGGAAGAGGGGTCTGGTCTTACTCATGGAGACGGAAGCCCCGAGGGGAGCATCTCTTACTATCGAACAGGTGCTCGCTGCCCTCCTTGAGCAGACAGCTGACGTTGAGCGGGATGAAGAGCTGGGCTCGGAGCGGGTCGCCGTACAGGTAACTGGGCAGCGCAAAGGGACCTTCCAGAACCGGGACCAGCAAAAAGCCGCAGGAGGTGGCTTTGCGATGCCACCCTTGGACCTGGTGGAAAACAGACACAAACAGTGTCACCCCCGCCTGGTGCAGACGAGAGCAAACACTGCTCGGGGAGCGAAGCTGCCAGGTGGAGTCACGCACGCTGACTGGCACGTTGGTGATCGCCGGCTCCCAACCAGTCCTGGGCAGGAAAGCGCAGTCTCACCTCCTGACAAATACTCACAATTGTGAGCTACGCACAGTTCCTCCCGGCAGCCCATGCGTCTGCAATGCCGGTGTTTCTTTTGGGAGGAGGAGACTGGAGAGAGCTATTTCTTGCCTCTAAAAACCCTTCTCACCTGGCCTGTGTGATTCAGTGGTTGGGTATCAACCCAGGAACCAAGAGGTTGCCGGTTTGCTTCCCGGTCAGGGAACATGCCTGGGTGGTGGGCCCGATCCCCAGTAGGGGGCGTGCAGGAGGCAACCGATCGATGATTCTCTCTCATCACTGATGCTTCTATCTCTCCCTCTCCCTTCCTCTCTGAAATCAATAAAAAGATGTATTTCTTGAAGTGACACGATTTGCTACTAAGCACCCACTGAGCCCTCTGCACAGCGAGCCAGGGCCCCATCCGCAAGGAGAGGAGACGCTCACCATCTCGAAGAGGACTGCGGCGGTCACCGCCATCCAGTGCAGCTTGATCTCGAAGGCCGCATTCAGGGAGAAGTTGCCATGGTAATAGCAGCTGCACCACTCCAGCCGGTCTGTTCGGTTGTTCACATCCACGTCCAGCGTCACAGTCCTCTGCTCCGGGACGGTGGCAGCTATGTCCGCACAGAGGAGGGGCCCCAAGAGAGAGGGAGGAGGAAGAGAGAATGAGGAGGAAGAATAAACACCCAGATAGGAAACTGCAGAATCACCTAAGAGGAAAATCGCAGATTCTAGAAGCTTCCTGGAAATCATCTAGTCCAGGGGTTGCAAACTTCTGTAAAGGCCCAGATAATAAATACTTTAGGTTTTGCAGGCTATGCGGTCTCATATAGAGACTGTTTCAATGGCTCAGGTCTGCCATTATAGTGCAAAAGCAGCCACAGGCATGACGTAAACGTAGATTTTATTTACAAAAACAGATGGATTTTCAGGGCGGTGAAACTGCTCTGTATGATACTACAATGGTGAATACATGTCGTCATACATTTGTCAAGACCCATACAATGTACACCACCAAGAGTGAACCCTAATGCAAACCACAGACTTTGGGTGATGATAATGTCAATGTAGGTTCATCGATTATAACAACCATCCCACTCTGGTGGGAGATGTTGATCGTGGAGGAGGCTGTGTGTGTGCTGGGACAGGGAGCATATAGGATGTCTACTTTGTGCTCAATTTTGCTTCGAGCCTAAAAGTGCTCTAAAAATAAAATTTATGCCCTGGTTGATTTGGCTCAGTGGATAGCACATCGGCCTGTGGACTGAAGGGTCCCGGTTCAAATCTAGTCAAGGGCACATGCCCGGGTTGTGGGCTCGATCCCCAGTAGGGGGTGTGCAGGAGGCAGCTGATCAATGATTCTCTCATCATTTGATGTTTCTAACTCTCTTTCCCTCTCCCTTCCTCTCTGAAATCAATAAAAATATACTTTAAAAAAAGAAAATGTATTATAAAACAAACAAATACACAGATTTGAGCAGGTAAGCCACAGTTTACCTCCCCCAATCTAATCCTGCCCCTGCATTTATAGTTGAGGAAACAGCAGCCAAGGAGGGAAAATGTCTTGGTCAAGATCAGAGTCAGAACCTCCGCCAGCTGAACCCCTGACCTTCTGATCCCAGTGACCCACGAAGGGACACAACTGGACCAGCCATCCAAACCACATCACAGTCCAGGGCAAGTCTCCCTTTTCTGGTCTCGACCCCGCAAGGCAACAGTTCTATAATCTTGCCTCAAGAAACCTCATCATGAGGCCGAATGCCCTGTTTCATCAACCGTGTGTTACTCAAAAATTCCAGGTCAGTATCAAACTAGCTCATCCTCCCTGGGTCTCCTGCTCAGAAATCCTACGCAGCCACAGAGGAGAGCTCTGATCAATGAAACATGGATGAGTCACAGCCTCCCTGCGTGCCTTCTCCTCTGGCCACCTCGCTTGTAATCATCCCCTCTCCTCCTGTTCCTGGTAACCCTTCCTCCCAGTGTAAGCCTCCCGCTCACCCATGGTCACCCCGAGGCCTGGCCAGGATCCCACGGACACTGCTTAGCTGGCTACGATACTTAAGGCGAAAGAATTCGGTGGCTCCGATGCTAAAAGTCTCATTGAAACTGGCACACAAATCCCTCCAGCCCTGACCGGCTCTGACTCTTGTCTTCCTGAGGCCGTGGTGCAGTATGGCCGGGCGCAGACACTGGAGAAAACACGCCAGTCCTAACACTGCATAGAGGCAGAGCCTGGGGCAAACTCCTTCCCCTCCCTGAGCCTGTGTCACGAACTCTGCAACATAAATCACAGCATCGCTCCGGCACGGGAGGAGGAGTAAATGAGGTAACTGTCTGCCTGCTGCAGTGCCGCCTCATGAGTGATCTAGAAACCAGGGCACGAAGGCTGTCATCGCACGGCACCGCCTGGGGCAGGGCAGGGCTAGAGCAGCCGCATCACCCACGGAAAGCACTAGAGCAGCCCAGGACCACGAGGGCAAAGGACAGCGCTTGCTTTGGGCGGCGGCTCACTCCTCCCACCAGCTCTGAAAACACCCTCGCCCGGCCTGACACCTGCAGAGGGAGGTGGGCCTCCCTGGTTTGCTGAGCTCCCCGATCTTGGCTCCTTCCTGGAATCTTCAATTCCCTCCCAGGCAGCCATTCCCAATTGGGGGCAATTTGGCACTCCCCTGGGGAGGCCGGGCAATGTCTGGAGACATTTTGCCAGTGGGCGGTGCCACTGGCATCCAGTGGGTAGAGGTCTGAGAGGCTAAGCACACCCCCCACACACAGAATGATCTGGACCCCAATATCCACAGTGCTGAGGTCGAGGCCCCTGCTCGCTGGTTTTGCACATTCTGCACGAGGGACTCACATCAGAAGAAGCCCTTTTATCGAGCACTTTAAAGGAAAAGACGTTCTTCAAATAACTGCTAGTTACTCCCCACCTAAAAGGAGCCCAAATCTAACGGATGTTTTGCAAAACACATTCCTACAACGTGTTTTACACTTGCTGCCATCAGTGCCCCTGATTTTCTGCCTCTAACCTGGGCGATCCTGAGCGACTGTCGCCAAGCTCGTAAGAGCAAAGAGCTCTCTGTGCTGGTCTGAGGGGCGCGCCCTCTGAGAGCGACGCTTGGGCTTCTGGCACTGGGTCGGGCTCTCTGGGAATCTCTCTTGCTTCCCTCAGCTCTCAGGAAAAGAAAGTATCACCGTACACCATCCAATACGTATTTGAAGTGGCTCATTGTACCTCTGTCTCTGAACCTGACCTTGGGGAGAGCGGGACGCTGATGAACACTGTTTGTTGGTCGGGACAATAATGAGCTCAACCCACTCACAGAAGCCAGCGCAGGAGCCTGCGGTGCCCACAGACCGAATGGCCGGTGTGACCGCCACGGCGGCTTCGATCCCAGTTCCCAGGCCTCGTCCCCTTGGGTGGTGGCCACGCTGCCTCAGCCACCCGCCAGCGCACCGCCAGGCCCTATGTGGGTCGGGCACCTACCTAAGAGCGCAGCGGCCTGGCTCCGTCCTCCGAAGCTGCGGCTGAAGGAGCTGTGCCTGCTCGCGTAGGAGGCCGGCCGGCTTGGCAGCCAGGGCAGGAGGAAGGCCGGGATCTCCGAGTGCAAGAGCTCTTCGGCCACGAAGGCCACCTCAAACCACTTGCGCTGGAAGCTGGCGAAGTCGTCCACCGCGGGCGTGTGCCAGGTGGTGGGCTGCTGCACGGCCACTGAGGAAGCAGAAGGGAGAGAAAGCGCCTTGGGCACGAAGGCCTGTTTTCTTACGGGCTGAGGAAAAGTGATCCCCAAGAGGATAGCAATCCTAGCTGGTCAGAGCTGGCTCGCACAGCAAGCTACAACACGGGTGAGCCATAAGCACATCACGCTGAGCAGAAGAAGCCAGCACAAAAGGCCACACTGTAAGAGTCCCCTTAATAAAATGTTCACTTTGACCGGCATTTCTTCAACTTGAAGGTACAATGGGTCACACTCAGAAATGAAGGGAAGAAGGCAGGGGCACACTAGCGGCTACAAGGGAGACGGCCTGCCCAATCCGCTCTGACCCATCCCTGGGGAAGAGCGGCACAGGCCGCTTTATCGGACGCACGATTCCTGAGACCCATGGCCGGACGCCTTGTCTGCAGGACGGGAGTCACGCAGCCCTGTGCGCCAGGGGACCACAGCTGCCTGTCTGCGTCCTGGCTGCCTCTGGTGCTGTGCGAGCCAGCTCTGACCGGCTGGGATTGCTATCCTCTTGGGGATCACTTTTCCTCATTAAAAAACCCGAAAACAAACACATAAAACATATCTTGGGAAATATGTTAGGTCTTGATGGTCTTCCTGGGGGAAGAAATGGAGCCTGTAGGCCCAGCGAGGAGAAAGTGCTGTCAGACATGCAGGTTCGAGCCCATCATGTCATCCTCAGACCCACCTGCACTAGGTGGGGGCGCTCTAATCAAAGCCAGCTACCAAAACATGGCCCGCGGGAATTTGCTCACGCCAGGTCCCTTGCCCTCCTGGAGGGTTATCTTCCATTCACCCTGTTCCCACCAAGAACGTCCTGTAGCTTTAAGAAACCCGTGTTGCTCCAGCTATGCTTAAATTAAACACGAACGCTCAGGGAAACGGACAGGCCCGGCACAACTTGGAAAACCAAGTGACCCAAGAAGCTCCAGCAGCAGCGCCATTTGAGAGAGGAAGTCACCGGGCAAAGCACCGGCCCCGTGGCCCCAGCGTGCCGCGTCTCTGACCTCGGTCGGGCTCTCTGTCCATGACTATCTTGTAGAAATAGAAGCCGTAGATGAAGGTCCGCCAGACTTCGCCAGACGCGTGCGTGATGAGCTGCTCCTCCAGCATTTTCTGAGGGAGAGACAGTGAAACTGAAATTCCCGCAGAGGGACATGTGAGAGGCGCAGCCCCCGTACAGGGCGGGGTGGAGGGAATGACAGGGCCCCAGGAGACCGTACCCTCCACCCCATCAGCCATAGCTGCACCCTGTGAAGTGCTGTGCCTGGTGCAGACAAAGCTATAAAGTACAAATGTGTATTTTAACATCATCAAATATTTCAAACATACAGAAAAGTATAAAGAAAACCCGACTTCAACAAAGTTAATATTTTACTATACTGACATCGGATCTTTTTAAAATATATTTTTATTGATTTCCGAAAGGAAGGGAGAGGGAGAGATAGAAACATCAATGATCTCAGAGAATCATTGATCAGCTGCCTCCTGCATGCCCCCCACTGGGGATGGAGCCCACAACCCAGGCATGTGTCCTGACCTCCTGGTTCATAGATTAACACTCAAACACTGAGCCCCGCCGGCCGGGCTCACCCAGATTTTTAAGTTGTGTCTTTCAAAGCAAGTCAAGCTCCTTCCTCGATTCCAGACAGTCCTCACACTTATTAAAAAGCAGACCCTCACCCCCCGGTCCAGACCTTGCTGCTGGAAAGGGCGGCCCCTTCAGAGACGGGCTCTGGCTTCCCGGGCCTAAGCAGATGGTTCTGCGGCCCCGCCCGGGCTGTCTCACCTGCATGATGTCGATGGCCATGGCCGGCGTCTGGACGCCCTCCACGTTGTTCACCAGCCAGTGCACCACCTCCGCGCTGATGAAGCAGGAGGGCGAGAGGCCCTTCTGTTCCGAGAGCAGCTGGACGCCTGTCCTGAGTTCCAACGCGGCGCGCAGGGAGCAGGGCGCGTGCGCACCATGGCAACAGCGGAAAGAGAAGATGGTGAAGAAGAGACTCGTGCTAAAGCGCTTACTATCTGGCGTGAGCAACTGCTCTCCACTATTTCTAGACCCAGAGAAACCCCAGAACAGAACAAAAAATGGTGTGAAAGGGGGAAAAGGAGAAGAGAAAGCAAAAAGGACCTGACATTTAGAGAATATACTTGTCAGGTACAAGACGAGGTGAGCTACATAACTATCCTATTTAATCCTTACATCCAACCTGGGACTTCTATTGACCCATTTTACAAACCAGGTACGTCTCAGAGACCAGAGAGGTCAAGGGACTCGCCCAAGGTCTCACAGCTAGTGAGCAACCAAGTCAGGTAGGACCCCACCGCACTGCACTGCCCGAGCAGGGCCCGGCTTGGGCCTGCGGACCCTCCCGCCCCGGCGCTCACACACGCGCCCAGCACTTACGAGGGGTGCTTCATGGCTTCCAGGATCTCGGCCAGGGTGGAGGCCGACGTCAAGGAGCTTGCCAGCACCTGCTGAGAGCTGGGACAAAGAGCGCCTGGTCAGCAGGGCCAGAGCCGGGACCTGAGGAACCGTCCTTCTTACAGAGCGGGGACCTTGGACAGCACTGACATTAAAGGTGACCCAGAAAATTCTGGATCGCGACATCCTGGGGTTATCTTACGGGAAGGGGGGGAGGTTCTTACTTCCAAAGTGTATACATTAAAAAACAAAAAGAATTCCAAGTGATTTTATGTCCACACTTGCTTATTTTTAAAAAAATACGTTTTGTTGATTTTAGAGAGAGGGGAAGGGGTGCCACCCATACCCACGCTGAATGGGGACTGAACCCAGCACCCCTAGTCCCCACTCCCAGGCTCGGACAGGAGGCGGTCCCACCCGTGTGAGCGCAGAACTCAGCTCCTGCGAGGAAGCCCACCTCCTCGTGGCGTACCAGCTGCTAGCAAGTTCTTTAGCACGAAATGGAACCTGTTCTATTTCCATGCACTGGTCCTGATTCTGTCAATGTTGGTCTCCTTGTCTCCAGCCTACACACCCCCAGTTCCTCTTTCCTTTCAAAAGCAGAAGAAACCTGCGCCCCTGGTCTCGCAAGCAAGGAGGAAGCAGGGACATGCACTCCGTCCCCAGGAACCAGGCAGCCCCTCCGACCCTCCCCGGCCAGAGCCAGGCTCGATGGGGATGGGCCTGGGAGGCGACAGAGACGAGGCACATCCAGGCCTGCTTGCGCCTCTGAACTGATCCTCCGCTGGCCACAGTGAACGGGCTGCGTGCGTGAGACATGGGAAGCCCGGCCCTGCACGTGTGACGTGAAAGCAACGGAGTGCTTCCGACAGCGCCGGCAGGCAGGCTGCCCGGGGCCCTTCTCTCTCGGGGGACGGGTGCAAGAGGCAGTTTCTCAGGCCACGCAGCCCAGGGCTGCTCCATCAGCCCGGAAGGCGGCAGGAACAGCCTGGGCAGATGGCTAGGGAGCAATTACGCAACAAAGGAAATAAAAAAGAAGTTCCTCTGATCTGCCAAGGGTATAACAAGCTGGGGTGTGGGCTGCTTCCCCAAGCAAATGAGGTCCGAGCGGCTTCTGTTCCCTCTGGATGCTCAGGATTGGGAACAGTGTGGCCCTATCTGGCCACAGAGGGCGACCCATTCACTACCCGTGCATTTCCTCCAGTGGCACAGACCCACTGCACGCTACCACATGGGAGGCCTCTGCCACGGGAGCCACGTGGAACAGGACTGACTGGCTCAGAGCCCCCTCCCCGAAACCCACCCTGCATGTCTGATCCTCCGCGGGGACCTCTGAGCTCTCCTGTGAGCAAGGCAGGGCGCAGGGCATCAGCCCAGCACAGGTCTGGTAAGAACGGACTGGGAGTCGGGACTTTGGCCGCCCAGCCTCCGCAGCCTCTGCGGGCGGACCATCCCACCGCCCAGGAGGAGTCTCACCTGCTGTCACTGGGGTTCGCGGAGGTGAAGCTCTGCTCCCCCGCGTTCTGGGAGCTCCCGAAGGTCTGGCTGTTGCCTCTGTCCGCGGACTGGCCTGTGCTTACCCCCAAGCTGGTGCCGTCCAACCCCGGGACGGCCGTCTGGTCCACAGACACCTGTACGTTAAAAAAAAAAGAAATCCTGTAAGGCTATTTACATTTATGGTCCTTTTCTTTTCTTTTTTTTTTCTCTTTTTTTAAGGGGACTAGGAGTACTTGAACACTTCTAAAATGAAGCTTTATATCATCAGCTATGTTGTTAGATGCTGCACAAATTACTCCTGCTAAGTCAGGGCGTCTCAACCTTGACACTACTGCCACTTGGGGACAGATAAGTCTGTTGTGGGGGCTGTCCTGTGTGGGACATAGAGCAGCATCCCCAGCTCCTACCCACTAGATGCCAGTAACACTGCTCTCATTATCTCCCCCAGCCCAGTTGTCATGAATAAAAATGTCTCCAGATAGTACCAAATGTACCTTGGGAGGCAAAATTGCCCCTCATTCTGAAAGAACCATTTGGCTCTCAGTTTGGGGGGGAAAACACACCAAAAACACATAGACTCTGCCAGCACCATAAGTACACAGAGAAAGGCCGCAAGAGGCAACTTGCTATTACCAATCCCCATCTGCTTCTAACCAGCAACGCTTAGGAACGGGTACGGCACTGTCATTCTAAATTAGAAGCGAATGGAGGACTCGACCCAGCTCTCAGGCACAAAAGTGTGGCTCTTCCGTGATGCCCTCTGGATCCTGGTAATGGGTTCCCTCTTATCTACTGCCCCTGAGAACTGCCACACCAGCCTAAACGGAATGATGTCTCCAAAATTTACCTAATTCCTGCGTTTCATTTCAGTGGAGATGAGGTTAAGGAGTTATCCTCTTCATCAGAAATTGGCAAACATTTTCTGGAAAGGACCAGACTAAATATTTTAGGCTTTGTGGGCCATACAGGGCTTGTGGCAACTACTCAACTCTGCATGGAGAGGCACAGAAGCAGCCGTAGACAACGTAAACAAATGGACATGGCTTTGTTCCAATAAAACTTTATTCATAAAAGCAGATGGTGGGCCAAGTTTGCCCATTCCCTGATGCCTGCTCTATGTTCATCTTTCAATCTTTCTATCTTTCTCTCTCTCCTCTCCCTTCCTCTCTGAAATCAATAAAAATAAAGAATTTCTAAAGAAAACAAAGCAAGCAGATTTTATGTTATGTATATTTAACACAGAAATGAAACATAAATAAAGTGCAATTTAATTTTGTGTAAGTATCTGATTTGAGTAGAGATAATTTTCTAAGAAGTTATATGTCTTCTTAACAACATACCTGGTGGGAGATATAAATTTTTTCATGTGTCCTCCTAAGCTCTCAACTCTGTTATTTCCAATTGTGGGAACTCATCCACTTTTGTTCTACTGGTGAATTCTACCATGTGAAGCTGTGCGGACTATTACGGGATTTATAACACAATTCTCTTATTCCAGATCTGTTGATCTTTTTAAAATATTTTTTTATTGATTTCAGAGAGGAAGGGAGAGAGAGAGAGAGAGACAGAAACATCAATGATGAAAGAGAATCATTGATTGGCTGCCTCCTGCACGCCCCCCACTGGGGATCAAGCCTGCAACCCAGGCATGTGCCCTTGACCGTAAAACCCGGGACCCTTCAGTCTGCAGGCCGACGCTCTAGCCACTGAACCAAACCGGCTAGGGATTGCTTTTTCTTATGTTAAATTCTAATCTAAGTCCAAGAGGGTCTCTTGTTAGAAAGCAAAAGTTTAAGAAGTCCGACCTGAGTCTGTTTTAAACCAAAAATGCAGCGTGCCGCACACACTGAGAGATCACAGATTCTGGATGAGGACTCAGAGGTCCCAGCAGGGATTTGCCCCGAGTCGAGCAGCTCACTGGGAAGAGGTAGGTGCAGACCACACAGACTGGTGGGCAGAATGGTGCAGGGGCTCAGCTACTCGCCAACTGTATGCCTCCTGACCAGCTAACATCCTTAAGCCTCAGTGTCCTCATCTGGAAAGTGGGGTGATAATCCCTGCACCTCACACCCTGTTGGGAAGATCAGATTTGCAGAGCCCATTGCATAGTAGGTGGCAGAGTAGGTACTTAATGCTGATTTTCTGACTTCTATCCAGTAAGGCTCCCTTAACCTCCACCCTTAAACTCTCAAGTCCCATCCTCCTTAGCTTGCCCTGCTCCGCATAAGCCTCCTCAGCTCTCTCAAGTCTCTGTAGCTAAGCCGATTTCACTCACTCAGGGGTCTTGGTAAAGGACTGGGAGCCCCGTTCATCGCCACCCAGGACCTGTCAGGACAGTCATTGCTAATGTTGACTACAGAGCAGGGGGGTCACGGGTCGAGCCTGTTGGTCCTGGATTTAAAGCCCAGGTCGGCACCATGCTGTGCAAAGTACAACTTCTTTGCCTCTCCATTTTTCCATTTGTAAACTGGCCCTAACACTTCCACCTAACGCACCGGTGACGGCGTGAGGATAAGTGAGATGGTGCTATGTCGTGGCAGATAGCCACTGAAGCATGTTAAGGCTTGGGAGGCCCTTGGAGATCTGGCCCAAACCCTTCCTTTGACAAACGTGTTCCGGGAAGTCCAGTGGCCGGAGGAGCTGCCCAGGCCGCACACGTTAGCCTCTGACAGCACACGCCTGTTAGTAAATGTCTGCTGGTTTCCGCCACTTCCCGCTTCTCACCCCACGGTTACAGACTTCTCTGGTTGTATTAGGAGGGAAAAAAAATAAGCGTTCAGCCCTTAAGCAGGTGTCGTTCATGCTGCTTGTATTATATGGACAAAACACCTCAAAGGGAAGAGGCTGCCACTTGGCGAAGAATCGGTGGCAACTCTGGCACAGAGAGGCAGAGGCAGGAAGCGTGAGTCAGCGCTGATGCGACCATTTGGTCTCTGACATCCATCATTTCCATCCCCCTCTGCCCTGGCCCAAACCTCGGATGGGAATGGACGCCTCGGAGACCAAATTCAATGTCAGCTGCCCTTGAATCTCAGCCGAGGTCCCATCCCATCTGTCCTGAGCCGAGCAGAAGGCTTCTGCTGACCGGGCAGGCGTGCGTGGGCTGCAGGGTTTGACTGACCTGCGAGTAGAAGGCAGACGACGCTGTGCGCGGACTGCGGACAAACTCCATAAAGAAGGCCCCGTCCTGGAGTCAGAGGAGGAGGAGGCAGTGGCGGCAGCAGGTGCAAGAGAGCGAAGGAACGGAATGTGGACCCGTGGTGAGCCATCAGGGGGAGGAGCGGGGGACGAAAGAAAAACAAAAAACGAAAACAAGGAGGGAAGGAGAGAAACAGGGCTCATGAAGAGAATGGGGGGGAAAGAGATCCACCAGGGAAGACAATATCCAAATGCAAAGCACAAGCAGGACTCGCACCTTCTTGGGCAGAGCATCCCGTCACGTGGGAGCGAGCACCTGGCTTAGAAGGTGGGTCCAAGCTCCCTGGGGCCTCCTGGGAGCCCGGCTCGGAGGCGTGTGCCCTCCCACATAGCTCTTGGCTCCCTTCAGGCCTATGCCCAGGGGGAAGGGGAAGCTGGAGAGCAGCTTGGAGGGGGTGGTAGGGAAGGCGCTTCAGGGGTCACTTCTTGGCCTCCCACCAGCCTGGGTGACCAGCAGGCCTCTTGGAGAGATAGTCAGGGCTTGAGGCTTTCAATTCTGTCGCTCCCTAAACATGGCAGCCAGATGGGAGAAGAGGGTTCCATGCAGGAAAAGTTCTGGCTTCATTTTCTGAGCAAACAGGGGATAAAGAGGCAGCAATCCTTTCTCTTCCACAGCCTGTGTGACAATGTCATAATGTCGGATGCACAGGCACTGGGGGGAGCTTCTGAAAGCGCCTTCCTCTCCCCGCCTGTCCCTGTGGGCCTCAAGTTGCCACGTATTTGAGACAAAAATGACATAGAAGCCCAGGCAGTGTGGCTCAGTGGTTGAGCGTCAACCTATGAACCAGGAGGTCATGGTTCAATTGAGCCCGGGTTTCGGGCTTCATCGCCAGTGTGGGGCGTGCAGGAGGCAGCCGACCAATGGTTCTCTCTCATCATTGATGTTTCTCTCTCACTCCCTCTCCTTTCCTCTCTGAAACTATAAAAATTTATTTTTAAAAAATGACATGGAGGACTTTTCCAATGACCCCTCCTTCCACCTTTCTTATGGCTAAGAAGGCCTCTCTCGTCCTGTCAACATGTTTTTACTTTGGATGCATTATCACTGACACACGATAGATCTGAAGGCCTCTGCTTTCCTACGACCTTCCTTCGATCCTGTCAGCAGAATCACTGAACTGCCTGGCTGTGTTTGATCAATACTGCCGCCATTTCCCACAGGCCACTGGAAACCGGGGAACCGACCATGACAACACGTGCCTGTGGAGATGCAACCTCGGGTCCCCTTCCACGCATCCCAACCCAGACACTGCCTGGAGACATCGCCAGGCGGTTCTGAGCATGTCAGCCAGGGCTCTTCGCGCTGGCCATCGCATCACACCTGTGCTTCTCCTCGACGACACGGGAATCCACACCGGGCATGACGGGTGGCCATCCGTCTGGATTTTAGTGTTCAGTTGGAAGAGTAGGAGAGTGTTCTAAATAGCACTCGAATATCGGGTTGTTGCCACATTTTAGCCTGAATGCTGGTGGCTCTATAATTTCTCTACCGTTCAGGCCTGTCCCTGGCACTCTTTCTAATCCTCACAGAGGGCAATGAGCAGAGGTCAAAGTGAGGGTACTTTGGGATTCTCCTTGTTCCATCCGGGTCCCTTCTCTGCCAGAACATACAGCAGCAGAGGTGCTGATACTGCTGAGATGTATATACATGCAAGTGAGGATGGGGGAAAAGCTTTTCCTTGACCCACAGGTCATTCCTTACGCACAGACTGTCCTTAGAACTGCACCTGAAGTCACAGCAAACTACAGCCTGCAGGCCACATCCAGCCACTGGCTTATCACAGCCTGTGAGCTAGGAGAGGGTAGTAACTGCTTATGGAAGTACCTACGCAAAAGCCTTGAACTTGCCTCTTGGCCCACAAAGCCTGTATTCCCCAAGGTTTGCCAACCCCTGATCTGCAGATTTCACAAGCTGCCTATAGACTCAGTTATACTTTTTCTCAGATTTTAATCCCTCCATCCTTGTAGTCTAATGCTAGTAATTGATCCTAAAAAAATAACCAGCAATGTGGTCAAATAATTATCTGCAAAGATGCTATTTGCAGCATTATTGATAATTGTAGAATTATTATAAAAATGTACGGAAGAATTTTCAAAAGTTGTTTTTAAAACCAGATGGAAAAAGCAAATTATAAATGAAGGGCCATCCATCTGATGAAATATTCTATCATTACTTTTAAAACTCATTCTTTGCAAAAATAATGATATGGGCAAATGTTCATGACAGGGAAGTAAAATAAATAAATACCAAGGTGGATATACAATTTGAACACAATTTTGAAAAGAAAATACATCTATTAAATCTCCTTCCTTTCTTCTTAATGGAGGTCAGATAAAAGGACATCTGATCGGCTCACCTCCCACACCAGACGATCTCAGGGTCTGGATTTCCCAGAGGCGTGGACAGAGCCAAGGCTACTGGTCTTAAAGGTGTGCGAAGCCCGACTACAGTTCCCGCCCCTCTGCTGTGCCTGCCTCCTATTCTGCTCAGAGGCCCCAGACTCAGGTTGTGTTTTTTGTGGTTGTTGTTTTCAGGAGTCTAAGCAAACTGACGGGAATTTCATTATCAAAGAGTGAGCATCCTGGACCTTTACTTGTAGATAATTTTAAAAAAAGAAAAAAGAAAAACAGTGAACTCATGGCAGATGCTTCAGGAGCTTCCTACCTGCCCTCCGGGGGAGCCGGAGAGGTGGCTACAGGACAACCAGATGGCCAGTTCCAAGGCTCAAGCCAGGCCCTGGGCCGTGACCAGTACCGTTTAGCCTGACTGCTTTCCATCTGCCTTTACCGAGCAGCCAGCCTCCTTACAGTTCTGATCAGGAAAGTTCCTCAGTAAAAGTAGTCACGCTGCAAAGGGCGCAACACAAGGCAGACCGCCTCGAGTCCTCAGCACGCCAGTCCTAGACCCCACCCTGCCCATTGGGTCTCCCGTTCCCTGCTGGAGTGGCCCCCTTTACCTTCCTCGGGCTGTCCACGTAGGTGGGAGTCATGGCAACGCTGCTGCTGCTCTCGGCGGGCTGGGCGGAGCTCTTGCCACCGTGCACAGCTGCCTGCTGCTCTCCCAGGCACCTGGAAGGACAAACACACGCCCGTGGCTCGCTCAGAGCCCCCGAGGAAGGACCCACGGTAGCCAGATGACACGAAGACAGCGCTGTTGCTGTCATCTTTGTTTTTTGTTTGTGTTTTTTTTTAAATCCTCACTTGAGGATTTTTTTGCATTGATTTTTAGAGGGAGTGGAAGGGAGAGGGAGAGACAGAGAGAAACATCGATGTGAGAGAGACACAACGACTGGTTGCCTCCCCCACACACCCTGACTGAGGTGATCAAACCTTCAACCCAGGTACGCGCCCTTGACCAGGAATCGAACCCATGACCCTCCGGTGCGCAGGCCGATGCTCTAACCACTGAGAAACACCAGCCAGGGCTCAAAAACTTTTCTTTAAGGTTTTCTAATATCAAATATTTCTCCAATCACCTTCAAAAATTTCTTGGCAGTTTGTTTGTTCAAAACAGGATTCAACTAAGGTCCCTACACTGCAATACGCTGTGTCTCTTAAGTCTCTTTCAAGCTATAAACGCCTTCTTATCGCTCTTGTCCCTGCCGTTTATCTGTTGAAGAAAGCAGCTCGCGTGTCCTGTAAACGGACAGCCTGGGAGAGCCGATGGCACCCTTCACTGCGCATCCCGTTCCTCTGGGCCTGCGCTTCCCGAGGCCGAGAGACGATGATGACAGGCGTGGGCAGATCGACGTTCAAGGGCCAGCCGCCTCCCTATGCGCGCGTGCTTCTGTCTGGAGGCCCCTCGTCCCTCTCTGGCGACGGCAGTTGCCGCTGATCATCTCTGCTGATCTACGCGTCCATTAGAGCCCACACATGTGATGTGCTATCATCCGTCCCCAGCTATTCCCTGGAATACTGAGAAAAAGAAAACTTCCCCACACCAATGACTTGCTACTCTGGGGTGCAGTTCATACAGGAGAAGCGGAACAAGTGCTGGGTTCCTTCCCTTGTCCCCTCGCATCACTGTCTCCCTCCTCCCGCGACACAGCCCCCCTCCCCCCTCACCGTGTGGTTTCTTCTGAGCCCCACATGTGATCACACACTGTGACATTCCCTTGGGTAGGCCACGGCCGGGGAGCAGGGCCAGGAAGTCTTGGCTACCCACAGAGGCCTTACCTGACACCCATGTCAACCCCCATTTACTGAGCTGCCGTCTGGCCCGTGGACTAGCAATCAGGGATCCAGGGACCCTGTCCTTGCCCCTGGAAGCTCCTTGTCTAATGGCTCAGGGGACGGGGCTGCCACAAAATGACCAGTCACACGTATTGTGCACGTACATATGTGAGAACATGCGTAGGGGCACACGGCCTTCTGCCGGGAGGGCGGCAACAAGGCAGTAACAGCCGCCATGTGGGGGGTCTCTGCTCGGACCCAGCTGTCCTCATTGTCCTCATCTACAGGAGCAGCGAAGCCTGCTGCTGGGTACCTGCTGCCCAGACGGCTCACGGCCACGCTGCTCATGGGCCCAAGGCCAAGATCCCCGGGGCCGCCGCCTTCCAGGAGGGCCTGACTGAATGGACACGCCTCCGAGAAAGACGGGAGGGAAGTGGAAGAAATAAGCACAGTTATGCTGGCATGGCAGGACTAAGGGGACATTTAAAAATTATTTTTCATGCCTGGCTGTGGTGGCTCAGGGGTTGAGCATCGACCTATGAACCAGGAGGTCATGGTTTGGTTTCGGTCAAGGGCACATGCCCGGGTGGCGGGCTCGATCCCCAGTGTGGGGTGTGCAGGAGGCTGCCGATCCATGATTCTCTCTCAACATTGATGTTTCTGTCTCTCTCCCTCTCCCTCTTCCTTCCTTTCTGAAATCAATTTAAAAATTATATTTAAAAAATTCTTTTTCATAATAAATAAAGTTGGGTCAGCTTGGGGCAGGAAATTAAAAAAGCACACAAATGAAAAACGCTGTGTGAGCAAACACTGTACGAAGGTCTGCTCCCTCTGTTCTGCCTCCAGCACTGAGAGAACGCACCACGTCACAGAAAGGTGCGGATCTCGCCTCTCCGACCTGCCTCTTGCTCTGGGGCTAGCTGAGTCTCGCCCCTCACACGGGACCCCTCCTCCCCCCACAAGCCATCCTTCCTCTTCCAGGCTGAGCAGAAGCAGGCTCCTTGGAGCGTCCTGAATGGTGACTCACTGACAAATTAAAATAAGACCCCCCCACCCCCAGCTTCACACCCTTCCCAGCAACATATGCTCCTTGTTCTTTTTTCCAGCAGGAAAGGCCTACGACTAGTTGCAGGGAGAACCTGCCAGGCAGGGTCCTGGGGTCTCTCCTTGGGCACATGAAGGTATTTTTGGAAGAGGACCCCTCAGTCATGAGCCCAGCCCCTCCCAACTCTCTTCCTCTCATTTGCTCCCCGTCAGCCTGCTATGTTCTCCACGTCCCCACCTGGATCCCTTCCTTCCCATGTCACCATCACCCTCCCTCCACCTCTGCATTCTCGCCTGGACCAGTGAGAGCCCACCCATGGGCCCCTGACTCCTGGGCCCACCCACCGGGCCTTCCTACACGTGGGGCTCAGCTCTGAAAACACCACTTCTGGCAAAGACACTGAAGGGCTATTTCATGATGTTAAGGGATTGCTGTAACTTTTTAGGTAAATAATGGTTTCACAGTTTTGTTTTGCTTTGTTTAAGAAAGAGTACTTATTTCTCAGAGACATACTGAAATGTTACAGAGGAAGGGATACATGTGTGGGATTGAATAAGAAATTAAAAAGGAAGATGAGAGCAAGTGGGATATAAATGAAACGAGATTGGCCATGAGATGATAACCAGTGAAGCTGGGTGATGGGTAAATGGGGAGTTATTATACCAGTCTGTCTATTTTTTTTAATCTGTTTGAAATTTTCCATGAAAATAAAAGGCCTTTCAAAGGATCGCTCTTGCTAAGGTAAGGACAGCCTGAACTCAACTTCCCACGCAGACTCTGTAATGGCATCTCCCACTCGGCCTCATCCTCACTCCATGTCACTTCCTGAAAGCTGAATGGATGCGGGCTCCTGCTGGGACCCTCACACCAGACACACATGGCCTAGTCCCCTATAACATCGCGTCCAGGGACCCCTGCATCCCTTTCTCCATCATTCACGTCCATTGTCCACCTACTACGTGCCAGGCACAGCACACAGCCTCTGTCCTCAGCGCACAGACAAGTCGAGAGAAGATGAGCGAACCAGGGGTGGCCTGGAAGAATACTGACGGACACAGGCCCAGGACTCCGGGAAGGACCGGGGCTCCCTGACCTGGCTGGGAGAGTTAAGGGGGCACAGGAACTGCTCTGTCATGTGACATGTAATCCTAAACTTGTCTAAACCCACAGAATGTACAACACCACGAGAAAACCCTGAGGTAGATGAACTACGGCCTTTGGGTGACTATGTGTCGATGTAGCTTCATCAGTTGTAATAACTGTACCACTCTGGTGGGGGATGCCGATGAATGGGGGATGATATGTATCGTATATGTGGGTACAGAGATTCCCCATTTGTGTGTATGGGAAATCCCTGGACCTTGCACTCAATTTTGCTTTGAACCTAAAACTGTTCTACAAAATAAATTCTACTAAAAACAAAACAAAACAAACAAAAACAAACAAACAAAACAAAACAAAAACCCCTCTCTGGGCCACTAAGTGTAGCTGTAGCCTCTCTCCGCCCAGGCACTTACTTCTGGCTGGCCTCCATCTCCAACAGGGCAGACAGGGCCGAGGTTCCCTTCTTCCCAACCGGGGGGCCGGCCGCCTCGAGGGAGTGCGTGGAAATGGGCCCCGCCATCTGTAAGCCTTTCATGGCGGCCCCTTTCTGAAGCAGAGAAAGGAGACAAGGCATCAGCCCCAGGGGGCCCCTCAGTGGAGGCATGACGCTGAGGGAGAGAAGGCAGCCCCGAAGGGTCACATTGTGTGATTCCATTCATAGGACATTTGGAAAAGACGAAAAGCGTAGTGATGGAGAACAGGCCACTGGCTGCCAGGGATGAGAGATGAGGGGAGAAGGTGGCTATAAAGTAGGGGTGGGGAACCTTTTTTTCTGCCGAGGGCCATGTGGATATTTATAACATCATTCGAGGGCCACACAAAATTATCAACTTAAAAATTAGCCCGCTCGATTTGGTCGAACATTTAATGAACTTCTAATGCCTTGGCAGGGCCCGACCAAATGATTTCGAGGGCCTTATACTGCCCGTGGGCCGGACGCTCCTCACCCCTGTTACACAGGGTGGCACGAGGGAGATTTTTTTTGAGTGACGGAAACTATTCCATATCCTGGAATCTCCTGGAGTCTCCTGGAGTGGTCCCTGAGAAAGGAGGAGAAGGTTCCCAAATCCCAGACCAAGCGCCGTCCCCAAGGGCCCCGGAACCCTCACCCGCATCATGCGATCTGAGCGGTGGCGCCGGCGGATGCGGTTCAGGCCCTCCACGAAGCGGATAAAGCCATCCAGCAGCTGCCACTCCTCCTCGTCGGCCCGGGGCCGGTCCCCATAGATGTCGCAGTGGGCTTCGCCCTCCGTGATGCGCTTGGTGGCAGTGACACAGGCGGGCAGCAGCAGGAAGCGGGTCCTCCAGAACTTCAGAGACTCGATTAAGCTGTGGAGGAGCCAAGGAAGAAAAGCGGGTGGTGGTGAGAAAAAGTAGATCATGAGAGCACCATCTCAACCCTCTCCCCGAAGCTGATGTGTGAGGGACCCTCTCCCCATGATGTGCCACAATTCAGGGGGCTTCACTCACAACACAAGCTGGCTGTATGCCAAAGATAATTAAAAAAATAAATTCTGAAAAAACAAAAGAATTGACCTCAAGGTCACGGTTCAATTCCTGGTCAGGGCACATGCCCAGGTTGCGGGCTCGATCCCCAGTGTGGAGTGTGCAGGAGGCAGCTGATCAATGAATCTGTCTTATCATTGATGTTTCTATCTCTCTCTCCCTCCCCCTTCCTCTCTGAAATCCATAAAAATATATTTTAAAATAATAACAAAATAAAAATGTAAAAAACCCACAAAAACACAAGCTCAGGAGGAGGAACTGGAAGACTGCATTTGCTTATTGTTCCCAGAGATGCCAGGATGCTTCTGTGCGCCCGGCCCGGGGGAGCTGTGGCTTTTTAATCCCCGAAGTCATAAATCACACAGAAAATTAACAGCAAAGCACCACAAAGTGGGCAGGAAAACGTTAAGAGAACATGACCCGCACTGACATTCCACCACCAAGTTTTCTAGCTGTTTGTCTTTAGGTGGTAAAATCTATGTAGCAAAGTCTACCAATTTAATGACCATTACGTGTCCATTTCAGTGGCATTAAGCACATTCCCGCGGTTGTGCAACCATCACCACCATCCATCCCATCATTGAGTTTTTAACCCAAATGCAGACGTGCTTTTGTTCTTCCAGGTTCTTCTAAAACCGACATCATTTTGTAATCAAAGGCCGGAAGCGTTAAAATATGGATACACCCAAAGAACTTGTATGCATACTTGCATAACCCATGGACACAGACAATAGGGTGGTGAAGGCCTGGGGCGGGCTGGAAGGGTCAATGGGGGGAAAAGAGGGACATATGTAACACTTTCAACAATAAAGATTAAAAAATAATAATAATAATAAAATAATAAATGACTAAATATTGTTTAGACAAAAACAAACAAAAAATATGGCTACACCCAAGGAGGCCCAATGGAAAGCCGAAGCGCCCTCCGACCTGAAGTCCTCCGAGCCGGCGGAGCAGATGTACTGATCTAAGTAGTTCCACTTGTACTCCTCCAGCCGTTCGTGGGAGAATTCCACCCAGCAGGACACGAACTCCGAGTCCGAGTGGGAAGGGCACAGGCTGTAGGTGTAGTGGATCTGGGCCGATTCGTAAGGGTACCTGAAACAAAACGGCCCGGCCGGAAGTCCAACAGAGAACCCTCCCCGATTCCTCCCTACCTTTTCCAAAACACTCAGCACCCTCCTCGGCATTCAACCACCTCATCCCCGGGGGCTGGCAAAGGAGATTTTTCAGATCTCAACTTTCTCCTCCTTCTCTCCTCACATTCTCCATTTTCACTTGGCTTTTTAAGAATCAGGCGAAACGTTATAAACGGAATCAAATCCCTTTTGGAAGTCTGGGAGCTATAACCCTAACATAACCCTAGGAAACAAAACAGTAACTCCAGAAGAGGACAACAACACTCACTCCAACGCCTCCGTGTGAACTGCGTGTGACACACGTAACTGAGTATGTGGACAGCATGTGGACACAACGCAGGACAGGAGCTGGAGACCTGACCTGTCCCAGGACTCACTTGGGCAGGTAGCGCGTCACGGTGATCATCTTGTCCTTCAGGGTCACTTTGTGGAACGTGCGGCCCATGCTCAGCCAGTACTGGTCCTCCTCCTCAGGGCGGTTTCGGGACACCAGGCCTGAGAGAGGAAAAAAGATCATTTTCTACATGTGGTTGCAGGTCATTCCATTAACAGGCACTTGCCTCTCTTCCGTATAGATTCAGAAAAGGAGAGACAAAAGAGATACTTTCTTTGGAGGGTAGTTTCATGGAAAAGCGTTATCCTTTGGTAAAAAAAAAGCTAAAGTCCTGAAGTTAGCAGATTTTTCCGTTATGAACCAACCAGAGCCTGGGGCTGCTGATAGCACCTGGATGACACACACAAAGCCGAACAGCCGGCGTGGCTTAGAGATTGAGCATCGACCTAGGAACCAGGAGGTCATGATTCCATTCCCGTTCAGGGCACATGCCCGGGTGGGGGGCTCGATCCCCAGTGTGGGGCCTGCAGGAGGCAGCTGATCCATGATTCTTTCTCATCATTGGTGTTTCTATCTCTCCCTTTCCCTTCCTCTCTGAAATCAATACAAATCTATATTTTTTAAAAAAATAAAGCTTATAAAATAGTCCCGGTACTCAGAAAGGTTCCTATTCAGTAGAGTCCAGAATAGGAAAAGAAGGCAACACGTGATAAAGATCACAGGGGGCTTTCAAGGAAAATCCAGAGGGAGTCTGAGGCTTCGTCATCAACAATGGGGCCTGGACCGGGTGACCACCGAGCTCCCTCTAACAAAACCACACTTCTCTGATCCTCAGGCCAGGGGCGGCTTAATGGAGCCAAAAACGAGCGGAGATTTTGAGCTGGGTGGCTCGGGGAACAGGGGTCTCATTAGCTAGACGGAGGAAGCAGAAGATTAATGGTTGCTCATCGATTGTTCCAGGAAGTGACCGCTGCTTTCTGATTCCAGGCACCCGCACTTAATTTTCTCTGCCTGCGTCACTTCAGAAGGGCTCTCCAGCGCCTGGCTCCAACTCAGCCGGCGTCACCCAGTCTCTGCCACTGATTAGCCCCTGTCACTCACAGATGACCCCCCATTCTTGCTCCAAGTCAGTAAGCGTCAGTGATAAACAAGAGATGAATCCAGAATAGAAAAAAAAAAGAAAGTATAAGCTTCAGGTTTAGGTGACATCTGAGAACCTGCCGTCTGCCAGGCACCATGTCAGAAACAAATGCAAGTGTCTGGGTCTAGAATAGTCCCTTCGTACTCTGACATCTCAGTCACGGCTCAGCTGAGGTGTCGCCCAAGCCAGGCTGTGACGTTCCTGAACTTGGCCATTCTCCTCTTTGAAAGGAGAGTTATAGATGATAGTTTTAGGATAAATCTGTGCCTAGTGGAGACTTTATTCCTCCTGTAAAGTAAAATTTAGGGGGAAATATTTTGTGTTGAAAAATAATTACTCCTAGCCCTGCTGGTGTGGCTCAGTTGAGCGTCGACCTATGAACCTGGAGGTTACTGTTCAATTCCTGGTCAGGGCACATGCCTGGGTTGCGGGCTCCATCCCCAGTGTGGGGCGTGCAGGAGGCAGCTGATCCATGATTCTCTCTCATCATTGATGTTTCTCTCTCTCTCTCTCCCCCCTCTCCCTTCCTCTCTGAAATCAATAAAGATATATTTGAAAAAGAGAAAAGAAAAATAATTACTCCTAAATTTATCTATTCCCTACCATCTTGAGAGTCTACTTGCACAAATTTAGTAGAAAAGAAAAAATATAGCCCTAGCCGGTATGGCTCAGTGGATACAGCTTCGGGTCTGTGGACTAAAGGGTCCCAGATCCTCCAATAAAAATGTATTTTTAAAAAGTTACATATATATATTTTAAAAAGAAAAAGGAAAAAATGTAAGTCCAAGGAGAACTCACCTCGGCTGTACAGGGGGCTGCTGCTCAGCGGGGGTGGGACGGCGGGGTTGGGTTTCTGCGCCTTGGGCTGCACTATGATCTGATAGCCCTGCATGAGACGCTGGCAAATGAACTCTTCGAACACCTGCTGGGCCGTCATCTGCACACCCTCCTCGTCCCTCCTGAAAAAGCCAACGATTGCTCACACACATATGCTTAGCCCAGGGCGGAGTGACACTCGGAGGCCACGCTCCCATCCTCTCCTTCGCTTCAACCCCACAAGCCAGCCCTGATAACCATTCCACAGTGGTTCATAAAACTAAGTCTATAAATCCGTTCTGGGAGAAATGATCGGTTCAAGAGGTGGAAAAAGAAGGCAGGTAATTCGATGCCCAAATGAATCATCTTAAAAAAGAAGATCCGAACAACTGTCACAGAAAACATGAGAAGGGATCAATGAGGGGAAATGGTTCAAGGAGGCGGGTCAACAGAACTCCAAAGAAAAATAGACAGCCCAGCTGGTGTGGCTCAGTGGTTGAGCATCGACCTATGAACCAGGAGGTCGGGGTTCAATTCCTGGCCTGGGCACTTGCCCGGGTTGTGGGCTTGATACCCAGTAGGGGGTGTGCAGGAGGCAGCCGGTCCATGATTCTCTCTCTTCATGGATGTTTCTATCTCTCTCTCCCTCTCTCTTCCTCTCTGAAATCAATAAAAAATATATATATATTTTAACAGTTCGTGCATCATAACATTTCCTAAGTATACTTTCAGTGTTCTGAAAATTCAGTGTTCTGACGCACACCTGGCCATACCCGGACTGCCCGCCAACACCCTTCCTCTGACACCCACCTGTCCATGTCCGCTTCCGGGAGGAGGTCGTAACAGCCCTCCGTGTAGTCGTTCTGCAGGCCCTGGCGGTCGGGGAAGTAGTCGGTGGTGAGGGGGAGGCACGCCGGAGTCGTGAGAGACTTCCAGTCCACTCCAACTGTGCAACAGAAGCCTGGCACTACAGGGGGGGCAGACAGTGTCAGAACTGCCTCGTGTAAACGGGGGAGGCACGTGTGGTGGCCACGGCAAGCGTGGACAGAGGCGGGCAGGGAGGGGAGCCGGGGGAGAGGGAGGGGCGGGGGGAGTTCATGGTGCAAGGTGACAAAATTTCCAGGCACGGGGATGGGGAGGGAGAAAGAGAAAGAGAGAAACAGTTTGTTAGACAATGCAATGCGCGTGCTGCTTATTCAGTCCCATCATGCAAACGGGATTCAAGCTGATCCTTTCGTTTTCTGCTGATTGTGAGCTATAAGCTGCGATGGCAAGGAGGTTACCGCGGGGCAGGCAGAGGCACACATCGAAGCAGGTCACGTCCCTAGAGCAGGAGCGGGCTGGAGCCCGAGCCTCTCCTGAGACGGCAGAGGGGCTGGCGGAGCGAGGAGGAGAGCTCAGCTGGATTTTGGAGCGAGCAGCACATGGTAGCAGAATTTAGGAATTCTTTCGGAATTGCAAAAATAAGCCACAGATCCAAAAGGGTAGGAAGAGAAATCAGGGTGCTTGGGACAGTTATAAGGCCGGAAGTGTAAGAGACTGAGCTGAACAACCTAGAAAGGAAAGCTTCGGTGGGTAGGTAGAGTGGGCCTGACCACAGGGGTCTGCCCCCAAATTGTCTGCTCTTTGGTTAAAGCGGGGTTTCTCCACCTCGGCACTACTGAGGTGTTCACGTTGGATAATTCTGTGTTGGGGGGAGAGGGGGGCTGCCCTGTGCATTGTGGGTGTGGAGCAGCACCATGGACGCTACTCACTGGACACCAATGGCATCTCCTGGTTGTGAAAACCAAACATGTCTGCAGACACTGCCATGTGTCCCCCCTGGGGACATCATCCCCCCCCCCGCCCCCTC